TGGAGAAGGGCTCCAAGGATGGGCTCATCCCCAAGGAACTTTGGCGACGAGTGGTAAACGAGTTGCATGGGCGCTTCGTGGAGAAAATGCTGCGAGGCGGAGGACCCCCACCAGAATGCGAAGACGAAGGATGGTATCAGGGTAGCGTCAAGGTGATTGCTTGCCAAGACGCGCGATCGGTAGAGACTTACAAGCGGATGGTTGCATCGCTAGGATAGGTCTACCCTGGAGCTAAGCTGGTGGCGGTTGACTGGGACGAGATCCCCAGCAAACCGAGGGCGCGAGTGTGGCTCACAGAAAAACCAGCCGACCCGAAAACCATTCTAACAATGCTTAGGATGTGCAACCCGACGCTCCCCACGGCGGACTGGAGACTCGCCAAGGTCGAGGAGGCGGTGGGACTGCGGAGGCAGGTCGTCCTCACACTAAACGAGGAGACCGTTAAAGCCCTGGAGAGGACGGAGCACCGGCTGAAGTACGGATTCGAACACGTTTCGGTCCGTATCTATAAATCCGATGCGAAGGCCAAGCCAGGAGGTATCGGTCTGGAGGCAGACACACAAGAGCCAGACTTGGAGGAGCCGACCGAAGAGGGGCGCCCGGAAGGAATGTCGGATGAGGAGGAGGACATCCTGGAAGGGTACACCTCGGAGGAAAGCGACTTGGCAAGGGCACTTGGTGGAGTCGGAATAGAGGAGGACTCTCTGCTGGGCTCCGAGACGGAGGCAGAAATAACTGTGGTGGAGATTTGTAAGGATGTCCCTGACGATCTTACAAATAAACCTCCACCTCAGTAAAGCGGCGTCAGCTGCCCTCCTACTCCACCTCGCCGAGAGCTGATGTGGCCCTCATCCAGGAACCCTGGATCCTAGGAGACAGGATTCTTGGGTTGGGGGCGTCGGAGTTCAGGCTCTGCAAAGCCGATACTACAGGTAAAAGGCGAGCCTGCATCCACGCAAAAAAGATCCTTAACCTCTTTTTGCTACCCAATTTCAGCAATGAAGACCACGTAGCCGCAGCCGTAGAGAGCCCAAATGGCCTTCTAAAGATATGTTCGGCGCATATGGGCCACGACCAGGAGACCCTTCCCCCGCACCCGCTTATCAAACAGCTGGTGGACAGCAGGAAGCACAAGATCGACCTGATCATAGGTTGCGATGCTAACGCCCATCATCATCAGTGGGGCAGCACTGACACGAACGAGAGGGGTGAGTCAATCTTCGATTTTATCCTAGGCTCCGATCTTCTGGTGGGTAACAGGGGTACAGAACCCACCTTCATATTCAAGAACAGAAGGGAAGTACTCGACGTCACTCTTTACTCTGAATCCCTAGCAGACAAGATTGTTAGATGGGGAGTCCTAGAGAAATACTCATTCTCAGACCACCGATACATAGAATTAGTGGTCAATTTCGAGAACTTAAATCGACTAACGGTACGCAACCCGAGGAAAGCGAACTGGGAGTTATATATAAAGAAACTAGATAGTTCCTTGGGGAAACCAAAAAGGGAGGAATGGGCCACACAAATCCCGGGACCAGCCGGTTCCCTCCATATCTACACAGACGGTTCAAAATTAAATGGCCAGGTGGGAGGCGGTTTCCATTGCGAACAGCTGTGTTTAAATGAGTCCTTCAGACTCCCCGACCACTGTAGTGTTTTCCAAGCAGAAGTAATAGCTATCGGAGAAGCACTCAGATCCCCAGCACTTATTGGAAATCAGGACACAATCTGTATCTTTTCAGACAATCAAGCGGCACTCAAAGCCCTTGACGGTCTTTCATCCAACTCCAGGACAGTGAATGACTGTCGCAGATCTCTTAACGAGATGGCAGCGCAGCATGACATACACCTCATATGGGTGCCCGGGCATAGGGACCACGAGGGTAATTGCGCCGCCGACGAACTGGCAAGAGCAGGTACTACCAATCCTCTCCTACCGGAGAAGGAACCAGTAGGTATCCCCTTAGCTACGTGTAGGCTAAAATGCAGGGATCACATTGACCGCGCATCACTGAGGAAATGGAGAAATCTCCAAAACTGCAGGAACTCCCGCATGATATGGCCATCCATCCGATCTAGGAAGAGGTCAATGTTGCTTATCGCCCTGAATAGGCAGGACTGTAGTCTGGCGATCAAGGCCATTACGGGACATTGGTTAATAGGAGCACACGCGGCTAGACTAGCGGTGCCACATTATGACTACTACAGGAGCTGTGGGGACGAAGAAGAGGAAGAGGAATGCCCTGCGCTGGGGCGCATCCGACTCAAATTCTTGGGTGCAGCAATACTTACAGACCTTACAGGCCTCGCGGAGGTCGCTCAACACAGACTCGTAGCTTTCATCCGTAAATCTGGATGGGACCGCGAGCCGTTTCAGGAAGGATAGAACACCCTTGGGCACATAAGTAAGGGGAAGGGAGAGGTCCTCTTGTAGGATCCATGCCTGTGCGGTATCACAAGGAGCCCCAGCGGCTCAAGTGGATGGGGGTCAGAACCGGCCTCTCATCGCCACCTCAACCTAACCTAACCTATCAGTGCATCCAAGGTTTTTGTCCAAGGAGCACCAAATATCGTACCCAAACGTAGATTTGGCACTTAACAAATTAAAAAAATGTTGGTTCAATATAAGCAACAATTCGAGTTTGGATCTCTTTTAAAGTTTGTCGCGTGCGACATTGTAAGTGAAAAATTAAAAAGTTTTGTTTTTTTTAATATATTTATTTATATACTAGTTTTAGTGTGAACGAATGCAGGAAACGAAAAATCAAATCCAACTGTTGGCGAGAAAATATAAAAAAAGATGAACAAAAATTATTGAATTTATTGAAGATATTTTGTTAAGTTTGAAATTGATGTAAGAAATAATAAAAAAAATATTGATGCATCAAAAATAATTTAAATACATCCTTTGCACTTCTCATTACCTAAAAAGAAACAAAAACAACACAAAAAGCATGGTGGAAGAAACATGTAGCGTGCGATAGTGATTCGAATTCAATTTAAAAAAAACTGCTTCATATTTTTAAGTCAAACGAAATGCATTATTAAAAACAATCCATACTTAACATTTTAAAATTAATTGCATTACAATTATCCATCACGTTTCGCTGAAATCAGTGCTTGAACTGGTTTTCGAAAAAGTGACTTCTGTTTTTGTCGCGTGCAAATGCCTCACGTTTTTGTGATTATCTTGATGATAAACAATTGCCCAAAATCTATCTTAGCACAGATTATATTGCTAACCAAGAGCCTTAAGATTCGCATTTAGAATAAAAAAAAAAAAAACCATGCACATTTTTTTTCACTTTGATTGCGTACAAATGTCGCGTTCGACATCAGAGAATTTCCCATATTATTTTATGTGTACTTAATGACACTTTGTCACTGCCACCATTTTGTTTAACCAATTTTTTAATATTTAGCCAAGGGCTATGAGGGGGGACCAAAATGTTTATCGAAATTATTTTATCTCTCACAAAAAATAAAAAATGAAAAAATAATTGGTGATTGGAAAAAAAACCAATGATGCTGCCTGTTCAACGTTATAATTCGATTTATATATTTTTTCTCTAATCTTAAGCCTAACTTATCTATTGCGGCGATGCAGGGCGAATTCGCACAAGAGCGAATATGAGCTTTCGCTCCCACTCCGCCCTTAGACATCTTATACTAGATTTAAATAACTAACAATTCAATTATAACAATTCATTTTTAAAAACAAATCAAACAATTATAAAAACGGCGTATCCGTTGACAATTTTTACGTCAGGCAATCTGGCTTCTGCCAGACTATACCATTTATATACCAGATTACCAGACCAGTATAAAACTAATTATGACCCGCAAGCTTCAAACCTCTGAGAATTTTGGTGTCACGATTGGGATTGCATGAGCAGTGAAGTTAGACATCTGTATTTGCAGACGGAGAGTCTGTTTTTTTGTTATTTTAGCATCGACTATGCCAGGTACGAGCACCGTTAATTTAGATTCGCTAAGCTGCAGCTGAGGAATGGGGGGTGTATTTTATCACCACAATAGTTGCGGTCCCTAGAAGGGGAGGAGCATCATTTCCAAAATCCGTTTAAACCAGTGGTGGGCACGAAATCTAACGCTCGAAGCGGCAGCTCGGCCAAACAACAAATTACAACAACAACCACCACCCTCGCGATGGTTGTCGTCGCGTTGTGCGCAAACGGACCCTTAATAATTTTTGTTGCAAACTCGGGACCGCGGGGTCGGGCCCGCTACCTGCCTTGGAATTTGTGTAGCATTTTTTTTGTAAATCTTCACGGCTCACTGACCGCGCGACTCGATCGTCTGGCCCGATTTGCTGGTGCCAAAAATTACGAATAACGGGGGGAGCCTTAAGAGCCCGAGGAGCCATGGGCTTGCCCACCCCTGGTTTAAACCACAGATTTTTCGGAGGGATATGCAGAACCCGTGACCACACAACGTCAATTTGCTGAAAGGCGCCTCATCGATGATCCGCCTTCGGAAATTTAAAATTTCGTTGACATGCGCTTGAATAACAAGACAGGGGTTTCAAAACATCTTGTTTTAGGGATCCAAATCCGGTTAATATTTTGTGTTAACCAATCCAGTACGCGTAATTTTTCGAATACGAAATAATGCAAGCAGGACTGCAAACACTAAATTTTTCAACATTATTGATAAATGGTGACAAATCGATTTTTTTATGGAACTTTTTTATGTATTTTCGCGAGTATGAATTTTACTCTCACAAGTGAGAACTTGTGTCACGAGCCCGCATGGGTCATGGCTGCACAGGCTTGCCAAACTAAATGCATCAAAATTGTTTAATTTTGTTCCAAATTTATCTTAAACTAAACGACATTTTACTAATCTGAATTAGGTAATCATGTTAAAACAATACTTTTTGGATAGGGAGACTTACATTTATTCTGTTTATTTAATTTATTTAATAAAATGCAGTTGTTTCATTTATTTTATTTTATTCATAACAATAATATACATACCTAATAATTTTGTTGTGTTTTTTTACGATACTTTTTAGGCGTTTACAATAAATTTTCCCATCTTTGGGGTCGTTATCTTTAAATTCCTTTTCTGTCATAAATAAACGTATTATTTTTTCGTGTAGCAGTTGAAATTGACAACAGGTATACGTTATAAAGAAACCGAATAATGAATCTTCTGCAAACAACGTTGTCACCACACAAATTCCTGCATATGACGTAAATATGTACGTAAAAACGTAAGCCATCGAACTGCAGTAAGGATCATACGGAAACACCATTTTGTAGGGAAATGGCTTTATGTTCGAGTCGGATCCCATGGTGAATAATAGTTCAATTAGTGGCATTGCACAATAAAGAATAATTAAACACGAAAGCAAAGCTGTCATAATAATAAACGTCCTCATACGTTTTTGACATTTTGTTGAAATTATTGGATTGGTTATGCTTAAAAAAAATAGAAAATATTAGAAACTATATAAAAAATGTGGAAAAAAATCAGTTCGTAATAAAAAAGAAAAGTGTGACAATTTTTTAACTTTTTTTAAATTTTCCTAGAACTAGAACTGCCCGATTGATCCAGGTTAGAAACGTTTAGTTTTTCATTAAAAGTATATTTTCAGTAAAACCTTTTTAGCTTGACTTAACTTGAGGAGAGACATCTGGGATTACGAATTCTTGGGCTTTTATGAAGCCCCAACTGGAACATCCCGACGTAACCCCACCATGCCCGAATTAAAATGGGTGTGGCAAACATGTTCTTTTTTTTCGCGATCTTTCAGAATTTGCAATGGTTTGTGCTTCAATTAAAGCATCAGCTAGCATTTCTGTATTCATCATAAAGCTTAGAGACCCAGACGACCGAGGGGCGCTCGAGACACGAATAATTAGTAAATATTAAGCTAGTTGTAATTTATTCAACCAGGAGGATTTAGTAAGGAAATTGAAAATTCTATACTTTAAATTTGAAGAACAGGAGAGAGATGTTATAGAGTATAGTCCATTGTAGCTCTGTAATATGCACATATATGGAAACACATATATTGACCACCCACTGTACCAAGAGTACTTCAAGGGCACACACTGTCGTATTTATATTTGTTTATGTTATTTGAAACCTGGGTCGTAGACATTAAGTGACCGAATTTCCAAATACTCGCTGTGCCTTAGCCGCACGCCGAAACTGCATATGCAGTGTAAATGTAATATGAACAAGCCACTTATATGTGCATAAAAACCTCCGCTTAAGCGATTTGCCATATATTTAAGAATATATAACCATCTCTCTGCCGCCGCTGTTGGCAGCGCAACTTCGAGACCTAGACTTCCCAACTCCAAGAAAATATTGCTAAGGAGAAAAACCTTTTGGGAGCTCGGAGCGGCAACAACGGCTTATCCAGAAAATAAATCAAGCAAATATAGATATATTAAAATATTAAACTAACCGACTTATGACCAACTGGTTGGGATCCCCCTGGACGTCGTTTAACATTACATGGCGACCGCGACAGCGATGGACAAACAACATCCAAGGACAAGGACCTAGGAGTACGAGAAGAAAAAAACGACGACGAAGAATTTGAAATATATGGCGAAATCTAAATGCGGAAAAATTAAAAATACCTTTAATATTGTAATACTCACGGAAATCGCAGTAAGTAGAGTGAGATGTGCGCAAAGAGAAGTGGCGTGGTTAAAAGAATAAAAGCCAGGAAGGCTGAGCTACTTAAGCTGTTGAAAAGCGGAAAGTTAAGCTGGAACAGCTCGGTAAGGATTCATGTCGAAGTTGAGCACTTGAAAAACCGGCTCGAAAAAAGAAAAATTGAAACCTACCGACTACAATAATTATTAAAAAGATGTTCCGTTTAGAAATAAAATACAAAACCTATAATATGTATACCCATATGGAGATATATTATTCTTAGGATGCTATATTGAAGAACAGAATATATTTTTATAAAATATGAAGTTTAATCTATTTTTATATCTAACAAAATAGAAATGAAATAAAAATAAATGAATATAACCCTTTCCAAGAAAATATCCTGATAATATTATATCCGTAATTCATTAGATAATGGAATAAATGGAAATTTATGAAACAGGCTAGACAAAGCTGTAGAAGTTATTTAATCCAAAATAGTTGGATCCACTTTGCACAGAGTCCAAAGCGAAACGACTATAGAAGCAATAATTAAAAAACTGCAAGATACTATAGTCGGAGAAACATCTGACGTGATTAAAGCCAAAATGGCAAAAACCGGCCAGGAAAGGAAAAACGGCAGAAAAGTTTACAACAGAGATAGACAATCTACGGAAGCTTCTAGAAGCTTCGTATATTGATGAAGGTCTATCGGCCGAGCACGCTGACAAATTCAGCACCAAGGAGGCCATCTCCACAATGGTTAAAAATTGTGAGCATGGCCGACTTAAAACAATATTGGAAGCAAGTAATTTTGCAACAATGAATGAAGCCGTCAAACTATCGCGGTAATAATTACAAAAACAATTATCGCGGTAGAGGTAATTATCGAGGTAGATATAACAATAACGGATATTACTAAAATAATGGAAATGACCAAAATAATGGTTACTACGGAAACAATAACTATAATAACAATAACTACAGAAACAACAACAACCGTGGTGGAAACAATCGCGGCGGACACGGCCGTGGTTGAAACCATAATAATAATGGCAATAACAACCATAACAATAACGTCAGGGTAGTCCATACAGATTCGGGAAACTCCCAGACGCCTTTAGGTACACAACAGTAAGAAACACCAAAGTTCACATCATAAATCTCAGTCAAAGTACATTTGTTAGTTTTACAAACGTAGCAACAGGAAAAGAATTAGTTTTTCTATTAGATGCAGGTGCGGAAATATCCATATTAAAGGAAAATTCTGATGCTTTTCAAAACATCAAAAATAATCAAATAATAAACATACAGGGTATAAGTCAATAAGTTACCAAATCAAAAGGTTTAACTTCTATTGAAATTCAAACTTCTAAATACATAATTCCACATGATTTCCATATCGTAAATTTGCAATTAAAAGGTACAACTGTCAATTAGACTTCAAGCCGTCTGAAGATTGGCTTATAATAAGACCAAATAACCTCCAATATCCTATTTATGTTCCAATAACATATAGCTATGGCAATAACTCTCTTATTTTCCCAGCAAAATCCCAAGTCGTCCGAAAAATTGAAATGAATTCAGATAATGACAGTGTATTAATTTCGAATCAAGAAGTTCAACCCGAGAAAAAATTGTATTATCCCAACTTTCGAAAAACTTCCCTCCTCAATTCAACGAACAACTCACAACATTATGCACCCAGTATAAAGATGTGTTCGGACTAGAAACCGAATCAATCACTACCAATAATTTCTATAAACAAAAACTGAGATTAACTAATGATGAACCCGTATATATAAAAAATTATAGAAATCCTCATAGTCAACAAGACGAAATTCAAAAACATGTCCAAAAACTCATTAAAGATAAAATAGTGGATTCCTCTGTATCACCTTATAATAGCCAATTCCCAATTCGGAAAATAAAAATGGCGATTAGTAATTGACTATCGTCAAATTAATAAAAACTCTTGTCTGATAAATTTCCGCTCCCTAGAATCGACGATATTTTGGATCAACTAGGTAGAGCGAAATATTTCTCATGCCTTGACTTAATGTTGGGTTTTCACCAAATTGAACTCGAAAAAAGTTCACGCGATATAACATCCTTTTCAACAAACAATGGTTCATATCGCTTCACGCGATTACCATTTGATTTAAAAATAATTAGGATTAGAAATAATTAGGATTAATTAGGATCTTTCTCTGGATTAGAACCTTCACAAGCATTCCTTTATATGGATGACTTAATAGTCATAGGTTGCTCTGAAAAACACATGCTCAAAAACATAACTGATGTTTTCGAGAAATGTAGGCAGCACAACCTAAAGTTAAATCCAGAAAAATATTCATTTTTATGCATGAAGTCACTTTTCTGGGATATAAATGCACAGATAAAAGAATTTTGCCCGACGACAAAAAATACGACGTCATTAAAAATTATCCAGTCCCACATGATGCGGACAGCGCTAGAAGATTCATCGCATTTTGCAATTATTACAGACGTTTCATAATTTTGCAGAATACTCCCGTCACATAACAAGATTATGTAGGAAAAATGTAAAATTCGAATGGACAGCAGAATGTCAAAACGCCTTTGAACATTTTAAATCAGCATTAAAAAATCCAACTCTGTTGCAATACCCAGATTTTAGCAAAGAATTTTGCATAATTACAGATGCTAGCAAATACGCTTTTGGAGCAGTCCTAACTCAAAACAAAAATGGACTTCAGCTCCCGGTTACATACGCATCAAGATCCTTTACGAAAGGTGAAAGCAACAAGAGCACTACAGAACAAGAACTATCAGCTATTCATTGGGCAATAATACACTTCAGACCATATATTTATGGTACACATTTCACTGTCAAAACAGACCACAGAGCACTTATTTACTTATTTTCAATGATAAATCCTAGTTCCAAACTAACAAGAATGAGACTTGAGTTAGAGGAATATAATTTTACGGTAGAGTACCTAAAGGGCAAAGATAATTATTTAGCCGACGCGCTCTCCAGAATAACAATCACTGACTTAAAAAACATACAGTTAAATATTCTTAAAGTCACTACCAGAAACCAAAGTAGACAAAAATCCTGCGCAGGAAAAGAACAAAAAGAATTGCATAAGCAATCTATTGAAAAAGCTTCAGAGCCCAACGTATATGAAGTCATTAAAAATGATGAGGTAGGTAAAGTGACCTTGCATGTAAATAATAAGATGTGTTTATTTAAGCGCGGAAAAAATTTACAGCAAGATATGATGTTAGCGATTTGTATACTAATGGAACCCTTAACTCAGGTCAATTCTTCCAAAGGCTTGAAAAGCAGGCCGGCATTCACAAAATCAGCCAACTCAAAGTGGCACCGTGGGAAAATATCTTTGAACATGTTTCAAGTGATAATTTTAAAAATATGGGCAATTATATACTGAAATCATTAAGAGAAGCGCTACTCAACCCAGTGACCGTAATAAAAAATAATAAAGATAAGGAAGCTATATTGTCTACATTCCATGATGATCCTATACAAGGTGGTCATACAGGCATTACAAAAACTTTGGCCAAGGTCCAGAGACACTATTACTGGAAAAATATGTCCAAAGACATAAAAGAGTACATAAAGAAATGTCCTAAATGCCAAAAGTCTAAAACGACTAAACTAAAGACCCCATTAACCATAACCGAAACTCCGCAAAGAGCTTTCGATAGAGTAATTGTGGTGTAGTATGCACATATATTGAATACCCACTGTACCGAGAGTACTTAAAGGGTGCGCACTGTAACACTTTGTTGCAGTGTT